GTTACATTTGCGTAAGGATAGATTTCCTGATTTGCGCAAATCAAAGTTAATGCCACGTGCTGATGATCCTTTTAAGGTGTTGGGGAAAATAAATGATAATGCATATAAACTTCAGCTGCCTGCAGATTTTGGGGTTAGTCCCACTTTTAACATTGCAGATTTGAAGCCTTATTTGGGTGAGGAAGATGAGCTTCCGTCGAGGACGACTTCATTTCAAGAAGGGGAGGATGATGAGGACATCAATACCATTGTTACACCCACAGCCCCTACTGTTACATATACTGGACCAATTACTAGAGCTCGCGCACGCCAATTAAATTATCAGGTACTTTCATTTCTTGGTAATGATTCTAATGTTCATGAGAATATGATGCTGCCTAAATTGGATACATTTGTTTTGCTTACAAAAGAAGGGGCTAGCTTGGAGAAGGATGAACATTGGAGCAAGAACAAGCATGGAGATGATGGCATGCGCAAGGGGAACAAGAACCGAGTTACAAGTGATGATATCAGGACTTTGAAGCCACCATAATGAGTGCATGAAGCCTTGGACGAAATATAAAAGATGTCACTTCATAAATTTCGTCCAGAGGTTATTCTAGGTGCTGCGTCACCTTATTATTGGGCCAGGCCCATGTAATTTCGAAATACATAAGTATAGGCTATTTTTAGAGTCCGTATGTGTGGGGAAACAAGAGACAGGGTTAGTTTCGGACCCCTCCACCAAGGGCCACGAAATTCACCCCCTCTTCCTCCATATATACAGCCCTTAGGGCACCGTTTAGACTTTGGGTTTTGTTTAGATTAAAGTTCGTCATAGCTGCAACTTCGCGTACTTCGTTTGTGTTCAACGACCAGACAAAGACGTCTCAGAACCCCATCTTGATCAATAAAGCTTTCATCTTATATTCGCAATATCCAGATTGCAATCTCAGTTTCTTGCTTCTTCTTTGTTTGCTCGCAGGAAACAGACCCTCGTGGTCAGGTTGATCGTGCTCCGACGTGGTCAATAACCTCTCGAAGTTGGTTTAGCGATTGCTAAGGCGCGACGTCCTCGCATGTTCGTAGTTGGATCGTCAAAGTCGATTTCCACCAAAGCGATATCCATCATCTCAAGAAAGACGGGACACCTTTGCCTCTATCACCTCGTGCACATTGGAGCCGTCCCACTCGCTCCTCCCCATGGCTTGGGGCAGCTCGACGGCGGCTCGGTGAAGCGGGACGAAGATGGCGTCGCAGCAGCGCTCCGGTAGCGTGAGTCGCGGCATCGCAGCAGTGGCAAGGAAGTAGAAGGCAAGGAAGAAGAAGAAGATGGAGGGGTGCGCGTGCGTTCGGCCGCCCCCCTCCTCCCCTATTTATAGGGCGTCAGTGACAAAGCCGAGGCGACGCGACGTGGGGGCGTGGGATTAACTGCGCCCACTCCTCGCACGCCCCCACAAATCCCGCGCCGTAATGGCGCACTTAATCCGCCCCGGAAGGGCAACCACCCACCTCGGCCACGACAGATCTGCGCACGTGTCAAGGCCGTGTAGTGGTGGGCCCGGGCCTACGGCGATGTCCCGTCGCGCGCGTGGGCTGGCAGGCCAGCCTGGCCTGCTGGCGCCGCGTGGTGCTCGAGTGACGGGCGGCGCCTCCCCAGCGCCCGCCACGCCGATTCAAATTCCTACATGCGGTAGCCTCAGCCGCGGCCGGCTCCTAGCACACAACTTCTCCCAGTCGGACGGAGCAAAGGTGTAGGATCCCTCAAAGGGGAAACTGCTGAG